TGCACCTCCACTGATTTAATTCATCTGGGCAGCCACTGTAGGATGAATGGCCTCTCTGTCATCTCGTGAAGTATCGTTGATTAATCAGTTTGGCTCAGCACAAAGTGGATCATTTTTAGTGAAATGATTGAATAGCCTTGATTTGGCTATGAGATGGGGTCAATACCTGTGTCTTGGCCTTAACAATATGATTTTCTTTGGTGTTGCTGTTTCGATTCACTGTAGCTTTGTCCCACAGTGTGTTTCTTACAGTATCCTGTAATACACCATTCCAGGTTACAGTTAATTTTTCTGCACTGTTTCCTATATTAATATTTTCCTAAGGGACATGGAGGAACTTGGATACACCTGGGCAACAGCCCTGCTGGTGGTGTGAGTGAGAAGTGGACAGGCAGTGCACATTCTGTCATTGGCCAGTCGTCAGTTTCTTCACCCATGGTTGGCTGGTATACTCACAGTGCACTTTAAGTTAAATGCTTGTATGTAGTAATCATAAAGGACTTTTTTTTTTTCTTTGGAATCAATACAGCCTTTCTCTTTGACTTCCACCAGGCTGGACCTCTGTGCATTTGATGCTCACTGGCCTGGTTTTGATTTGGGTAACGCCTGCTTTTCTTTGCGATGTGCTTTTAGCTGTATGAGGTCTTGGGGGGAGTGGGTGGAAGCAGAGGCGACTATCCTTCCTATGAGCTTTTTAAATATTGAACAATTATGGGCTTGCTTGGAAGCTGCACTACAGTGATCAGATCTCAGTGGCTCTCAATGATGTTGGATATATTGTTTATATATTGAGTAAGCCGTGACATTTATTGCAGTTACGGAGATGAATTCATGACCACTGCCTTTTCTGTTTAATTTGCCTGCGTTTATTTTCTTTTGTCTTTCTGCCATTTTTCAGTTAAGATTTCAGGCTGGGATGGAACTACAGCAAACTGTCAAGTAAGCACTGTGCAGTTTCGTAAAGTTTTCTGTTGGAGCTGTAATGTGATGTTTCAGCAACAGATAAATCATCCACATGCCTAAAAAACATTTGGAAAAAGAAAATTTCAAATAGGCAATTAGTGAATGAGCTTTATTTTGAATGTTCATTTTGTCCCCTGTACAACTTTATAAGAGCTGTCTCTATGTTCTGCAAGTAAAATGTAAAAACATTTACAGAAGAAGACCATCTGAAGTAATTATACTGTAGACAGACCTAAAATAATAATCTTGTCTTCTATATGAATGGGAATTGCTTGCCAGTCATAAGCCAGTCCTCCGTCTTACAGCAGAGATGATCTGATGGAGAGCAAGACCTGCCTGTCACCATCTGAACATGTTGCATGTAGAAGGGACCAAGAAAAGGGCATTTTCTCTTGTTTTATGCTCTTGTGTGAGGAGGAAGAGTGAACAAATGTCATTGCTGTGTTTAGAGCTACCGTGCTCTGCATGGTGAGAGAGGGATGCTGTCAGAGAACTGTCAACTGTGCTTTTAAAGTAGCCACACAATTTGGAACTGCTGTAGAAACCTGTTGTGCAAAATTTAATTTAGCTCCCTTGTGTAAATGTAGGCTTTGAAAACATGGGTGTACATAGGCCTGTGAAGTTTACAGGGTTGCATAAAATGCGTTTCCAAACCTTGTTCACATAGAAAGTGACCAGCGGTTGAGGACTGCAGGTTTTTTTAGTTGAGTGGATCTGACTGTCCATAGAGGTGTAATTAGCAACTTTTATCGTCATGAAAAAAGATGCATGAATCTTAAA